ATATATATATATAGCGCATCCAGTATCATATCCCAACTATCTGTGTTAAAGGCATTCTTTACATCCATGGTCGCGATGATGCAGTATTGCTATCTGGTGCCTTGGATGGCGGAAGTTGCCAACTTTTTCTAGCGCATCTGTTGTTGACCGAGCCTTCCGGAAACCAAATTGGTTAGGTGACAGGCCTCCGGCGCTAGCAATAGAATAGAAGCCTCCAGTCTAGAGCAGATCAGTTTCTCAAACACCTTTCCCATGGTGTCTAAGAGACAGATTGGTCTATACGAAGGTGGCACCTCTGGTGGTTTGATAGCCTTGGGTTGCAATTCCAAGTTCTGGGTTTTCCAGGCTTCAGGGGACGTCTCCTTAATTAAACATTCGTTGTATAATTCGGCAAACGTACTAGGTTGCAAGGCGAGGGCTAGCTTTAGCGGACGATTTGGGATCCCGTCCAGCCCTATGTTGGTTCTAAGACCTCTGAGAGCTACTAAGATTTCTTCGTCTGTAACTAAAACAATTTGAGTGCTCGTTGAGCCCTGATCAGCAGACTCGGACTCAGGGGCATGAATGAAGCTTAAACTTCCTGGAAAAAGTGTTCCCACAATCGATTTAAGCTCCAGACGATCCGTAGGATGCACCTGTTTACTTGCGTATAGTTTCTTAACTACTATCTTGTATGCTCTGCCCCAGGGGTCATATTCGGCTGAGTCGCTCAACTCTAAGAAACATTCTCTTTTGCTTGCCCGAATATCCTTCTTCAAATGTCTTCTGGCTGCCTGGTAAGCTAATTGTTTTTCGGAATACGTACACCTACCCCGAGCCCGTTGATATCTTCTTCTCGCCTGGATGCATTTGCGACGAATGTCACCTATTTGTGCATTCCACTAATACGTAGGCTCTTGTGAACTGCGTGAACTGCTTGCGGCGTAGCATGCTCTGGCCTCAGCATTACCAATTGTGCACAGAGACTGAATGGCCACTAAAAAGGCCGCGGAATCAAAAGTATCCAGCCGATATGATTCCCTCCACAAGGTTGGCGTCCTGGCAGGTGACTCAATTGTGAACAGGAGTGCCGTATGATCACTGCCCGTATAACTATCGCAATGGCTCCATGTTGCTTCTCGGAAGAGGGATGAAGTGACAAAAGTAACGTCAATAACAGATCCATATCCAGTCCGACTGAAGGTGAACTCGTGACCAGTGTTGAGCAGTGCAACATTTAAGATTGTCAATAAACGAATATAAGAAAACACACACATACACAAACAATTACATACATATACACACACAAGCATAAACACGCATGGGCGGCAGTGAGCGCCCATCACTTTTTGAAAAAGCGTATTTCAAATATTAGAGACTTGTGCTTTGGCAATTACATGCATATTCAT